ACCGCTGACCTCCGCCGAGTTCCCGAGGCTCCTCCCACCCAAGCACCAACGCCAAGCTCATCTACGTGTGATGAGTTTAACCCAAACTTCTTTTCTAGGTCTTATATCTACCTCTCTCCCTCCCTCGATCAATCTTTCGCTTACTTTCCCCATACTATGCGTAGTCGGCTCTTTTCAGGTTTTTTTTTTTTTTTTGTCAGCTTTTAATTTAATAATAACCAACTTAATTCAATGTTTGTGTTTAGATAAAGAGGCCATGAAACAAAAATCTCAAATTCTAAATGTTCTTGGGTTTACATATCGGGAGAGGTATGAACTGGACCTCGCTGAGGCATACATGAGCATGTGTGTGGAAGTAACGAAACAAGCGTACGGCGACATACACGAAGAAGTTGTTGAAAGACTTTGTAACTATGGTATCATTCTACATGATCTCTGGCAAAATGAACGCGCTATTCAAGTATTAAAGGAGGCTCGAAGAATGGCCGAGTCACTGGGTAGTGATCTGCCGATCTGTGCTCAGGTTAGCTATACATAGAAGACCGAAGACTCTAAAACGAAGAATACGGGTAAATTTGGGGCGGTCTTCGTTTTGTATATTTCCTGGAATATTATACAAAACCCCGCCTAAAACCATGCTACTTGCAAAACTCTTTATTTTGTATTCGTTTTTGAGGTGGAATTGAATACCCGCCGCATTTTTAGCACTCTTTCTGTTAACTAATTGGTGGGGTCTTTAGTAAGGGTCTTCGGTCTTCTATTTTCGTTGTGTACCAACCCTAGCTTTCATCATCGACGTTTTCTATCTATAATGATTTTTCGACGTGTTATAGCTGTCCGGTGATGTTACGCCCTCACTGACACTTGTCTTTTATACTCTAAAACCTGTCTCACATTCGAAAAAGTATTAAAGGCGAGCTGTATAGCATTTCAAACTTTGGGAGGAGGAAGGTCGATAAACAAGTGAGGCCTTTCTGTGTTCGTATCAACGTAGTCTGATGTCGGGATTTTAAGTAGCTGTCGGACTGCAATAGATTAAAAATGAAGGATGTATAATTTTGTCATATAATAAAATGTTGATCTATTAGGCAGAGGAAAGAAAGAGGTTAAAAAAGTAATTCTAATGGTTATCTTTTGTTTCTAGGTTTATAATTACACTGCTAAAGTATTTCTAAGATGGTTCCTTGGCTTAATCTACACCGAAGGAATGACAGAAAAAGCCATTAATTATTTAAACAAGTCAAAAAACCTTCACGAAAAAGCCCTGCAAATTTATGAAAATCTTCAAGGCAAGGAGCATAAGTTTTATGCTGGGACATTGATGACGTACAGCATGGTACTTCGCCATCAGGGGGAAATTGAAACTGCGTTTCAGCACTGTGAAGAAGCCGTGAGCATTTACCGTTCGTCAGGCCACATTGCCTGGCCCCGTGCTCTTACTTGGCTGGCAGATATTTGCTTTGCTAGAAAAGAGTTCGATGTTGCAAAACGTTATCTTGAACAGGCCATAAAAGGTGATAATGAGTTTGGAACCACTATTATAAGCCCTGGAGCCTTCCATCCTCAAGCCCTGCTGGCCGAAGCACTTCTGAAAACTGGTCCTAAAGAAAATGGAATACGAATATTAAAGGAATGCATAGATGAGTGGAAGAAAAAAGGCATGCACCCTCAGCATTACTGGATAGTAAGGGCTCAATCTGCCATTAGTGATTATGAGAACCGCGCTTAGTGCATCCCATGTGAAGGAGTGTTAGTCCTTGACCGAACTTAATGCATCCCATGTGAAGGAGTGTTAGACAGTGACCGCGCTAAGTGCATCCTATGTGAAGGAGTGTTAGACAGTGACCGCGCTAAGTGCATCCTATGTGAAGGAG